CTAGAGCCAGATATCCTGAAAAGTGAAGTCAAGTGGGCCTTAGAAAGCATCACTATGAACAAAGCTGGTGGAGGTGATGGAATTCCAGTTGAGCTATTTCAAATCCTGAAATATGATGCTGTGAAAGTGCTGCACTCAATATGCCAACAAATTTGGAAAACTCAGTAGTGGCCACAAGACTGGAAAAAGTCCATTTTCATTCCAGCCCCTAAGAAAGGCAATCCCAAAGAATGCTCAAACTACTGCACAATTGCACTCATCTCACACTCTAGTAAAGTAATGCTCAAAATTCTCCAAGCCAGGCTTCAGCAATACATGAACCAAGAACTTCCAGATGTTCAAGCTGGTTTTAGAAAAGACAGAGGAACCAGAGATCAAATTGCCAACATCTGCTGGATCATCGAAAAAGCAAGAGAGTTCCAGAAAAACATCTATTTCTGCTTTATTGACTATGCCAAAGCCTTCGACTGTGTAGATCACAATAAACTGTGGAAAATTCTGAAGGAGATGGGAATACCAGACCACCTGACCTGCCTCTTAAGAAACCTGTATGCAGGTCAGGAAGCAACAGTGAAAACTGGACATGGAACAACAGACTGGTTCCAAATAGGAAAAGGAGCATGTCAAGGCTGAATATTGTCACCCTGCTTATTTAAATTATATGCAGAGTACATCATGCGAAATGCTGGGCTGGAAGAAGCACAAGCTGGAATTAAGATTGCCGGGAGAAATAGCAATAAACTCAGATATGCAGATGACACCACCCTTATGGCAGAAAGTGAAGAGGAACTAAAAAGCCTCTTGATGAAAGTGAAAGAGGAGAGTGAAAAAGTTGGCTTAAAGCTCAACATTCAGAAAACTAAGATCATGGCATTTGGTCCCATCACTTCATGACAAATAGATGGGGAAATAGTGTAAGTAGTGTCACACTTTTTATTTTTGGGGGGCTCCAAAATCACTGCAGATGGTGATTGCAGCCATGAAATTAAAAGGCGCTTACTCCTTGGAAGGAAAGTTATGACCAACCTAGATAGCATATTAAAAAGCAGAGACATTACTTTGCCAACAAAGGTCTGTCTGGTCAAGGCTATGGTTTTTCCAGTGGTCATGTATGGATGTGAGAGTTGGACTGTGAAGAAAGCCGAGCGCCAAAAAATTGATGCTTTTGAACTGTGGTGTTGGAGAAGACTCTTGAGAGTCCCTTGGACTGCAAGGAGATCCAGCCAGTCCATCCTGAAAGAGATCAGTCCTGGGTGTTCATTGGCAGGACTGATGCTAAAGCTGAAACTCCAATACTTTGGCCACCTCATGCGTAGAGTTGACTCATTGGGAAAGACCCTGATGCTGGGAGGGATTGGAGGCAGGAGGAGACGGGGACGACAGAGGATGAGATGGCTGGATGGCATCACCGACTCAATGGGCATGAGTTTGAGTAAACTCTGGGAGTTGGTGATGGACAGGGAGGCCTGGCGTGCTGCCATTCATGGGGTCGCAAAGAGTCGGACCCGACTGAGCGACTGAGCTGAACTGATCTTTTTTGCTCTAATTATGGCTCAAGGATGCACAAGTAATTCAAACTTAAAACAACAATCCATGACATTTTTCTGTCTAGCAATATGCTCAGATTTGTTTACAAAGACAGAAGGAAGTCAGGATTGTTCTTTTATCAGTTGAGGAAATAATATACGTTCTACTGATATTGCTGAAGAATCAATCAGTATTCCCAGATGCTTCTGGCAACTCTCTTGAACTATTACAAAAATGAAGCCAGAAGAGGGATAAAAGATGCATATAAAAGAGAATATAGACAGGAGAACCCCAGAGAAATGACACCTGAGCCCTGGTCAAACTAGCACAAAGCCTTCCTTACTGTTCAGTTCCATTTAGTTGGTGATATCATCCAACCATCTCATCCTCTGTCGTCCCCTTCTCCTCCTGCCCTCAATCTTTCCCACCATCAGGGTCTTTTCAGATGAGTCAGCTCTTCACATCAGGTGGCCAAAGTATTGGAGTTTCAGCTTCAACATCAGTCCTTCTAATGAACACCCAGGTCTGATCTCCTTTAGGATGGACTGGTTGGATCTCCTTGCAGTCAAGGGACTCTCAAGAGTCTTCTTACTGTTAAATATTTTCAATTACATAATTTCATAAATACTTTTACTTTTTTTGAACCGAATCATATTGGGATTTTTCTTTCTTTCAACTGAAATTATCCTAACACAATGAGTTCTCCAATAGGAAGAATAGGATCTGGTCACCATAGCTGTGTTAGCTCACCTCCCATTGAAAATGGAACTCAACTAAAATAGAAACTGACACAAGCACAATCACTGTAAACTTTTCAAACCCATGTTGTTACTTTAACCAGGGCAGAAAATCAAGACCTCTGGAATAGAACAATTCTAAATTCATCTAAACTGATGAAGTGTTTCCACCAGAAGCTCTAAAGGAGTATTTAGTCAAAGCAGTCTACCTTAGAAATAAGATATGAAATTTAACAAACAATTTTTAAAAGATGCTGACCATTCACTTCATCTCTTCATTTGGGAAGCAAAACTTATTTATATGACAACGCTGTAGTACTCCTGGTCCATACAGAAAATTTTATCAGTGGTCTTGAGAGAGTAACAGGCAGGAAGGTTGCTGCTGCTGCTAAGTCACTTCAGTCGTGTCCGACTCTGTGCGACCCTTTAGATGGCAGCCCACCAGGCTCCCCCGTCCCTGAGATTCTTTCTCCAGGCGAGAACACTGGAGTGGGTTGCCACTTCCTTCTCCAGCGCGTTAAAGTGAAAAGTGAAAGTGAAGTCGCTCAGTCGTCTCCAACTCTTAGCAACCTCATGGACTGCAGCCTACCAGGCTCCTCCATCCATGGGATTTTCCAAGCAAGAGTACTGGAGTGGGGTGCCATTGCTTTCTCCGGACAGGAAGGTTAGGGGCCCCCAAAGAGAGGAAATAAGCTGCAAGTGTCAGATTTTTTTATCTCTCCCTTAAGGTGCAAGAGGAAACAAACTACAAGTGTCAGATTTATTTCCTTCTCTATACAAAATTAAAAGGTTTCTTTTAATGGCTGAGTAATATTCCATTGTGTACATGTACCATAGCTTCCTTATCCATTCGTCTGCTGATGAGCATCTCGGTTGCTTCCATGTTCTGGCAATTATAAACAGTGCTACGATGAACATTGGGGTGCACTTGTCTCTTTCAGATCTAGCTTCCTTGGTGTGTATGCCCAGGAGTGGGATTGCTGTGTTGCCATGATGACACCTGGTTCCATGTAACTTAACTTTTCTCAAACCTTCAGCTAACCAATGTGTTTTTCTTATGGAAATGCTTTTCTTAAGCTATGTTAATGAACTATGTGTTTACCCTAGGCTCTGTCTTCCTTAAAGTCGTTTTGCCTAAGACTCAGAACCCATAATGGCTCAACAGAAAAGTATGTTTTACTCAGGAAAATGTTCTCTTAAGCTATGTTAATGAGACTATGTATTTGCTTGGAAATCTGCCTTTCTTCAAGATAACATGATTGAGTCAAACAATTGATCTGAGTCTTTCGTTTTATGGCCCGAGATGACTCACCTTGTGCCAATGTTATCTCAAAATGCATGTTGTGGGTCAGGGCGCTGGTGCCACTCTCTGAGTTTTGAGACATTTCTTTTCTCTAATTAGCAGCCTCAGCCTACTAATGGGTATATAACTTCTTGCTGAAAAATTATCAAGGGGGCACACTTTCTGCCCCCTTCTGATGTCTATGTCAGAAGTCTTCTCTATCTATTTTATATTTTAATAACACTTTATTACACAAAAGCTCTGAGCAATCAAGCCTCATCACTGGCCCCAGATTGTTGACCTCTCCTCCAGAGGACAAGAATCCCAACATCTTTCATGGCTCAGCAACAACGTTTCGGTCTCCAATGAAAAATATGTTTTCCCTAATTAGGTAATGGGCCCAAAATATTTTTTCCATGATAAAATCTTGTGATGAAGTTGGGGTGGTGATAAGGTGAAAGGCAGATTGATGGTCTTGAAATATGCAGATAACATGAGACGTCTGGGTCTTGCCTTCAGATAGGTGATGGGAATTTCTCCAGAAAATTGTCACTTTTTTAATTCAAAATATGCAGAAGAAATCCTACCAGACAATAAGTTGACCCAAATCCTGTCCTAACTGTGTCAAAGTATTTCAAGGGCGAAGATGAAGGACCTTCTGGGATCAGTTTTCCCAAGGGCCATCTAGGAACAAGGTTATCTAGGAATGTGGTTAGATGGACTCATGTCATCTGACCATGGGAAGGGAAGAGTGAAATTTGAAAGACAATAAAAAATTGTACAACAACTTGAAAGCTTACCTTGTGTCTGTCAAAACTAATAACAAAACAATTAGGTTTGTATTTTGAATGTTTTATCCATTTAATTTTTTAATTTGTTCATTTTATTTGCATTTTATGAATATTAATAAAATCTATTCATTATCCTTTATACTTATGGTTTAGAAAATAATGTTCTAAACATCATCTCCTAAACTGGTTGCCTCATACAATCAGAGACTTGGCCTAGGAGAATGTGTAAGCAGTAGAGTGTGTGGGAGAGCAAAGTCTTTAAATGGCCACAATCCACATCCTACAGAAGCAGTGCTGACTTACTCTAACCACAAAAACACTGAGAGGAATATATATATATATTCCTGAGTGAAACTGAGCAGAGATTGTCCCCAGATTCTCTTCACTCAATCATTTCCTCTCCAGAGTTTATCTATGAGGATGAAGCAGAGAAGACAAGCAAAGGAAAACTAAAACTAATTTCTTTTATTATAGTATCATGAAAACTCAGATTATAAAGCATGCAAAAGAACCTGAAATGAGGCTGGGGAGGAGGGAAAGACAGAATGAGGTGGTCAGGGTGGGAGTGTAAGGAAAATATCCCCTTCCAATTGGGTCTTCACACTTGGTTCCAAGTCCATGATGAGCTGCAACAAGACACAGGCTGCTGACTTCCCACTTGATCTAGCCCTTGAACTTGCAGATATAGGGTAAGTTCATATTACAGTTATAATCTTTCCATTTCAGATATCCTAAAGAGACAAAAGAGCTTGAGTCAATGGGGCTGGTGTAGCTTGAAGACCCAGTGGAGAGGAATCCCAGATTCTGGCCATTCACCAAGGTCCTACTCGAAGGGAAGAAGATAGAAAGAAAGAAGAGATGAGAGGGGATGGAAGCAGACAAACCAATACTGTACTTCATAGCAGAGGAGGATTCTCTGATGATCAAGCCCAGAAATGGGGGATCAAAGGAAAAGACTAAGTAGAAGTGACCTTCTCTGTTTCTTACCTGATGTTCTGGACAGGATTCCACAATGATCAGGGCTTGAGACAGTGGCAGGATTTCTCTCCCAGGCAAAATAATTGAGCACATCAGTGCTACTCCATTCCCATCCGCCAGCATTGGGCTCAAAGCCCTACGGAGCAAAGGATGGAGTCAGGTGATGCAGAAAAACTTTTAGAATTCTCCTGGCCTGATGCCCTCTGCTGGAATGCCTGGTCCCCTCCACAGCATCATGGAATTTGCTCTGCTCTTCCAGATGATGCCCCACAGCTCTCCTCTAGGAAACTCTCCCTAACTCCTTGCTTCACTTGGCAAATTCCATAACCAATAATCACAAAGGCCAATAAAACACCTCAGAGTAATATGTCACTATCTGAACTACACTTGGGGATGTATTTGCAATTACCCTCTGACCCTCCAAGATAATGCCTGTTTTATAAAAAAGGAAAGTGAGAATGAAAGTCGCTCAGTCCTGTCCAACTCTTTGCTACCCCATGGACTAAACAGTCCATGGAGTTCTCCAGGCCAGAATACTGGAGTGGGTATCCATTCCCTTCTTCAGGGGATCTTCCCATCCAAGAGATCAAATCCAGATCTCCTGCCTTGCAGGCAGATTCTTTACCAGCTGAGCCACCAGGGAAGCCCATTTTAAAAAAAAGAAAAATGCATCAATCCTAAATCTTGATTTAGGACTTGCTAAGCACAAAATATTCAGACTCAGGGAAGCATAGAGAATTACAAATAATTACAAATTCATGCTTGTGTGAATTGTGTAAAAGCTTGATAAGAGGCGGAATAACTTAAGCAGGAGTCTAGGAACTGGCACAGAACTCAGCTCTTCAGCTGCCCTCAAGGCCCTCACTTTCCCCAGTTATCTCCTGAGTTCCAGGGATCTCTTGGGTATTTGCTGGGCTGGCAAATGGGATGGGGCAAGGGGTGGGTGGGGGTGAAGCTGAGTGGCCATAGCATCTTTGGAAGTGACAAATTATAAAGGCAGTAAATGTACCTCTGTGGGGTCATGGAGCCCAATCCAGACATTTGATTGGGTTCTCAAGTTATTCCTAACCAAGGAGGCCAGGAAGGATCCCTCAGTCCCACTGAGCACAGACGCAAGATGTCCTGAGTGTCTCCTCTGGCAGGCAATCTGTGTGGGGAGCGAAGAGACACAGGAGGAGCTTAGACACCACTAGGGGAAGGGCAGGGCCAAGAAGGGATGTGTTTGCAAGCATGAACTTCTTATTCTCATCCTAAGGAAACTCTTGAGGATCCCCATACCCCACAACTCTGTCTCTGATTTGCTTCTCCTTATCTCTATTAACTGCAAACCCTGGAACTCACATTTGCATCCATCCAGCTTCTGGATACAGTATACAAGACATAGCAGGAGGACCCATAGGCTGTGGAACCTCTGGGACAGCTGATCCTTTCAGAGCGCAGTTCCATCTGGGAATCTACTCCTGAAGAAGAAGAAATAAAGGAGAGGGATTAGGTAAAATGGAGATAAGGGATTAAAGTATGGAGGCGACCTTGGAGAATATCTATGAGGCCAGTGCTTGGGGCAGTGACACCAAACTCCTAAGTGCCTCTCACCATTGCCAACACTCCAAGGATTTCTCTTTCTTAAATCATAAACTAGATGTACTAGTTGGGAGATGGTGTGTTTTATTTTTATGTATCTGCCTAATTCAAACACTCTTTTCCACCTCTGGACTGTTTGTTCCTACACTGGATCCTCATCATTCTTCTACTCATATCTCTGCTTTCCCTCCTGAATCAACTCACATAAATTAGACACTACTGAGAAAATGAAAATCATCTCATCCCACTGTTATTGAACCACTGGGGTGCCTCCTACCACTAGGTACCCTGAAGGACGGAGTGATGACTCAGGAATCCAGGCAGTTATGTTGTGTGGGGATATCCCATTACCAGGGGAGGCACAGGAGCTTTCCTCCTCTTCTTGGCCCTGAGCGGACACGGGGAACCCAGTGCTAGAGGCAGAGAAATCTCACCTTGGACCTGAGACAGGAGCATCAGGCAGGAGAGCAGCATCCAGGACAGTCTGGGGAGGCCCAGGGAAGGCAGCATTGTGTCTGTGAGGTGTGGAGGATGCTAGAGAACTAAAGGGAGGGTGGTAGAGAGAGGGTGTGAGAGATCCCATGTTGTACCTCTTGTCTTTTCCTTCATCTAGTCCCCTAGGAATAAATCCATCTTGGTAGCATCCCTCCTCTTCCATGGTGCTGGAAAGAATTAGAAAATCTACACATCCTAGTGCACCTGAGATCTCCCAAGTCTGGCTTCCCCTGGTCTCAGAGCTCCCTTGTTCTCTGAAGACAAGGGTCCTTGTACACTTTCCCCCATCACGGGTCTCACCTTGTCTCAGCTCCACTTAACTGTCTTACAGGGGTCTGCACTGACTTCTCAGGGCAGAAAAGACTGGGTTTTTATAAGAGAATTTGAGGGAGGGGCACTGAAATGAATAACAGGAAAGAGGAGCCAGGACAGGGATTCAAGGACATGCCTGCCACAGGGAGGAGTCTCTTCCCAGAAAAGCCTTGGAGTTGCCACAAATACTGCCTCTTCCTCATTATCATATTAGCACTTTTTCCTGGAAGAGGTGAAGTTTGTTCTTCCCACTGACTTTTCCATGATTAGCCTCTGTGGCACAAAACAAGTTATTGTTTAAGGGCGCATCTACTGGAATAGTTCTTCTGGTTGATGTCTCAAGTGCTCACTCTTCTAGGCATACACATGTATTTTTTTCTAATTGTGTAGTGGAAATAAATAAATATTGGATATTAAGTGGAGATGTGTATGGGAGCTATAAGTATCACAGATAAGTGAGGGCAAGAAGATCCTGAAAGTAATAGAACAGAAGTTCAGCATTGCCTCTTTTACAAGGTAGTTCATTTTAAAGAAACTTCAGAATCATCTCATAAGTCAATAGATGAGCCAAAATCTTAAGTGAAATGAGAGGCAGAAACTTGCCTTCCTGGTATTCTGAGATGGAGTTCCCCAGTGGATAGTGATAATTTGATATAATAAGAGGCAATGAAGGAATTTCAAACCTAGGAGTTCTACAGTCACAGGCTGCAGAGCTAAAGGAAGAATGAGAGAGGGTGGAGGAATGATCAGAGGAGGGTCTGGGTGAAATTATAGATCTGATCCCACACTGCATATAAGTTAGATCTCTGCTCCATCAAATGCTCAGTCTGCTGGGCTGCTGAAAATTGCCTTCCAAGACTGTCACTGGGCTATTGATGAAAAGTCATTTCTATCACACTCTAGTCAGGTGGTCGGTGCTACATGAGAACACTAAGAAAACTTCATTAGTCGAGTTTATGCTTGAGCTGCCAGTTTTGGTAACTCTGAGACACACGACCTGAGATTGAGGTTCAGATTAGCCAATCTCGGGAAACATTATAGGAATTCTTTATAGGCCCTGACCCTCATGTGATCTTTATAGCTAGTTTATGCACCAGTGGAGCTTTGCAAAGAGGTCAGTGCAATCAAGGGTGTAATTGATTCATGTCCTGAGACTCCAAAATTGAATAGGACCCACAAATAATCTAATAGGAAGGATAGGAGAGCCAAGGGATTCTTTTGTTAAATAAAAAAAGAAAGAAAGGGAATTACTTCACAAATATGTGCAAGAATGTATAAATACAAAGTCATAACTATCATGAGAGCTAGGGGAAATTAAAACTCAAATGATCAATTTATCATGGAAATGATGATTGCTAGGATTATTTGAAACACAATATTTCTACATTAAAATAATTATTTGAGGGAATTCCCTAGCAGTCCAGTGGTTGAGAGTTCACGCTGTCATTGCTGGGGGCCCAGGTTCAATCCCAAAAAGGGTAACTAAAATTCTACAAACTGTGTTGTGTGGCCCATAAAAAGGATAATTTTTACCTGAGAAAAAGTAAATAGTAGTAATTACATATGGGAAATGGAATTCTGGGATTCTTGTGGGGAAAGATACCACTTTAGATTTAAGTAAAGACACCATTTAGATTAAAATACCCTAAAGCTATAGGGTCGTCTATTCTAGTAAGTAAAATTTATTGTTGTCTTGATTAATAAAGCACACCATTTCAGAGTTAATTGTGAAATTGCCAACATATCCATGGGAGAGCCAAAAGACAAAAAGGAAGATTTAGATATCACAGGTAAAATTTTCCCTGTATTTAGCTGCCCTTGCTGTGATTTCATTACCAGAAAATCAGGAATGGAAGAAACCCTCTAGAATACGGATTTAGTGACTTAAAGAGAAGTAGTACTCCTTCAAGAAAACAGGGTCTATTTGACTATTTGGAGTGATCATTCTCAGCAGTGTCTTGACATGAATGCTGAAAGTCCTAAATATTTCTAGAAACCCATAACTTTTAGCTTCAAGGTAATTAAATTTATCAAGCAAATGGGATTTTGAGCACATCAGTATGTTGATGTGGGAAGCCTTGGGGTCTTTCCAGAGATTGTTCTGATTTTTCAATACACCTGTGTATCACTGTTATTATCCCTTGCTAGAGCTGTAATTCAGCAGTGGATATAAAGTGGAAAAGGAAGTGAACATGAAATTGGTAAACCAGATTTTGATTTCTGCTATGCATCTTCTTAGCTATGTGTCTATGCTGCCCATCATTCTTTAAGAGAGACTGCCTCCCAATATCTGTTCCATCTCAGGAAGTTTTGTAAACAGCAGTTACTGAAACCACCTCCCATCCAAGTTTTTCTCATTCCAGCTTTGTTAATATTTCATTCTTATTTTCCAGTATACCCAAAATCTTTGCTCTGAGCCACAACCTTGCACTCTCTTCCAGATTTAGTGTTTGGTGTGCTTTCCCAGTTGGCCTAAATGATTTATGAGGAAACTTAGCATTGTTCTGTGTCTAGTCTCTCAGTTGTGTCCAACTCTTTGCAATCCCATGGACTGTAGCCTGCCAGGCTCCTCTGGCCATGGAGATTCTCAAGGCAAGAATACTGGAGTGGGTTGTCACACCCTCCTCCAGGGGATCTTTCAAACCCAGGGATGGAACCCAGGTATCCCACATTGCAGGTGGATTCTTTACGATCTGAGCCACCAGGGAAGCCCAAGAATACTAGAGTGGGTAGCCTATCCTTTCTCCAGGGGATCTTCCTGACCCAGGAATTGAACCAGGGTCTTCTGCATGGCAGACATATTCTTTACCAGCTGAGCTACCAGTGAAGTCCACTCTTAGCACTAAATCTCTATAATGTATGACATAAATTGTTTGGGCCAAATTCTAAATATTTAAGATAATATTCAAGCCCAGGAGATTTTTAACTGTGTGATTTGCCTAGTCCCACCAGACTATACCACAAAAAGACTCTAAAGTTATTTCTTTTTTGACCAAAACAGATTTAGGACTCCACCAGAAGGTTATATACTAGATTCAAAGAATCATGTCTTTGAAATGAGCAGAAACCCAACTGTGCCTTCAAGAACCACCAACCACACCCAGCATAATGTTGACCACAGAAATTCAAATGCCAGCATTTCCTAATCTTCTTGATTTACTTGGCCAAGCCATTGTTGGCTCTGATCTTTTATTTCCTACTGAACTCAGTTTTATATTGTTGCTGTTGTTCAGTCACTAAGTCATTTCCAACTCTTTGTGACCCCATGGGCTGTAGCACACCAGGCTTCCCTGTCTTTCAGTATCTCTGAGTTTGCTCAAACTCATGTCCATTCAATCCCAGCATCTTCTTCTATTTTGACTTAGTATATGATTTTGTTTTTGCTAGGACTTTCCTTCCCTCCAGTGGAAATGTCCTGGCTTCCTTCCACCTACTGTATGCATTATGATACTATAAACAGCTTAAATAATACAGAGATTATTGATTCATTAAAGTATTCTGGAGATAGACTGTTTCGAGTTTCACCTTCAGATGCACACAGTTGTCAGGAATCTAGGTAGAGGTCTCCATGATGACCTTGGCCTTTCCCTCAACATAACCACAGCAGCCTAGAGGTTGTCTGACAATTTCCAATGCAGTAAAGAAAGAGCAGGAGGAACAAAAAGTCTCCTTTCTTATACATTTTTTCTTACTGTGGAGGAACATTTTTCTCACAAGCCCTTAGTCAATACAATGTTGTATCTTACTGGCCAATGTTAGATTGCTGTTCTATACCATAAAAAAAAGTTATTAAAATTGCCTTAAATTACTTTGACCCTCATGATTCATCTCCTGGGACTGGGCATACCTTCTTCAAAGCCAAATTGAAATTTATAAGCAGAGTTTCAAATGAATATCTGTTATCAATTAACATTTTCTACTGTACCTACAGCCATGCTTATCTTGAGATACTGATCACAGAGGCTATTTTGCTAAATCAATAGTCTTTATTACTGACAAGTTTGTGTCTTGATTCATGTATTAAGTTTTCTTCCCTTAGTAAACTGTCATGAAGCTTTTCATCTGGAAGTCTAGAACAGAGTTAGGAAAGCATCCATCTTTCCTTCCCCTATATCTATTCTGTCCCATTGAGCCCTCTAAAATGTGTGTCTTTCAGACTGCCCAGAACTTGACTTCTTCTGACACAGTTAATAAAAATAGCCCTTTCCCTTAATATTTGTAATCTCTTATTTTCTCTCTAGAAACTAGTCCCACTCAATTTAAGGGGAATATAAAATCCTCTGATTTCTTTCTGAGCCCCCAATGCACAAAATTTGTATCAGAAACTTTGTATGATACCCAATGCTTGAGTTCCTTAAAGTGTTTTCTTGTCCTTCCTCCTACTGGGCTGTTGAGAATTCAAAGGTGCCTTGACTGAGTCAAGACACAGACTTCTTTCATGCTGACTTAGTTTAAGTTATCTGCATATAAGGTACTGACATGTATTGCAATTCACTCAAACCAAAGGGAATATTTTAGGAAGGACAAAGATTTATCTTAGTACACCCAAGATTAGGACATATACCATCTCATGAAGTACTAGGAATAGGAAGAACACATTCAGACTGTGAGGGTACACTTTTCTTCCTTTTCTCTTTATTTCACTGGGTTTTTTCATATTTTTTCAGCCCATCAATTTCCTTGCCTTTGGGGTACAGGAAGAG